TTGTGTTGTGTAGATGGAGACAAGTTATACTTAATGTAATATTTTTTACTAAGATGGCTCTGTTCCATAGGTGATATGGATATATGAATATTTGCAAACTAAGCCTTGTGTATTCACAGAAATCTACCATACTCCACATTTATTATGTGTTGAGGGAATTGGTATGAATTTACTTCAAGGTTTGCAAGGATCAGAGGGAGAGTCTCTCTGATTAATAACTTGTTGCAAACATCATATTGCACTCTTTTCTTTGTACGAGTTTTTTCCTTTGGTTTCTCATATAAAGTTTTTAATTAGGCAATATCAACACAAGGTTATGTCATATCATCCATTTTTCTCCACATAGGTTTTTGGAGGATGATATTGTGACATATAAAGCATTGCACTCTTTTCTTTATGTGAGTTTTTCATTTATGGTTTCTCATATAAAGTTTTTGATGAGGCAATGTCAACATAAATGTATATGATATATCATCTATTTTTTCCTATCGAGGTTTTTTAGAAGATGATATTTGAAGCATATTGACCCTATGGTCAAGATGTTTTAGACTAAGGCTTTAGATTTATCTTAAATGGTTTAATAACATATACTCTGTTGAAGGCTGATTTTGGATCTCTTACTACCTATTTTGGGTTTGGGTGCCCATATGGGTTCCTTGTTGGAGAGAGTCTAAGACTGGGCTGGGCTTCACGCAGTGTGGAGAGGTTTCTAGAGAGCAGGCGTACTGTACACGTGGATGGACTCCGCAGCACATATCCGACGGCTGATGATTTAAGTGAGCCGAGCGCAAATAATGCTCGAGTGATACGTAGATTAATCGATTAATAAAGAGGCAAAATTTCTGCCACAAAATCTTTCGTCCAACTAAGACATCGACTCGGTTACCCTTTACATATTTTTGCCATAAAAAATTCCGTAACCACACGTCCAAGTGGGTTTCCGTGTCTGTTAACCACACATTCAGCCAACCATGAAAACGCCAGCCTAGCACGAAAACACTTTTTTTTATATTTTTATCGTCAGTTCCGTTCCGGTTCTTTTTTTCTCCTGTTTTTTCTATATAAACATCAAAAATAAATAATAAATATAATATTATAGCTCTCTGAACTCTAAACTTTTCTATAAGTAAAAATAAAACAATAGATATAATATTATTGCCCATTAAACTCTACATTCTTTCGTATAAATAAATACTCCAATCACTAAATTATTGATGTAGCTTTGATTTGGAATAAATAAATTTATGGGTAAGGCTAGCGCCCGGACGTCCGGCCTCAGGCCCACGTTCGGACGTAGCTCCTCGCGCCCCGTGCCCGCATCGCATCCCACGCGCTCGTCCCGTTCCCAACCAGCACCAGAGTTCAGAATCGCGGCCCGCGCCCATCCCACGTCCGCACGCCGGAACCGCCGCCCATGCCCATCTGCTTTGCTTGTGCATGGATGCACGCTGTGGAGGTGTCTGCAGGCCTCAGGCGCCAGCACATGAACCACGACGGCACACCAGCAGCAGCAGGCGGACAACGGCTTGCAACACAAGATCTACTTTTGAAACATACAAATAAAATATTTGCAACATACGTCTGAATACAGATGAAACACTTGAAACATGCGAGTATAGCCATTGCAACATATGCAACATCAGATCAACTTTTGAAACATCCAGATGAAACCTTTAAAACAAACGTCTGAAACACTTGAAACATACGCGTGCAACATGCATATATTACCATCGCAATATATGCAACATCCTAGATCAACTTTTTCAACATTTAGATGAAACATTTGAAACATAAGATGGAAATGCCTGAAACACTTCAAACACGGCATCACCGGCAGCGATGGCCTACCTGCTTGGGGACTGCGGTAACTAGCAAGTTCAAGTACAGAGGGAATGTCGAGGACAAACAGCCCAGCGTGCACAGGCCTCCCCTTCCTGCCGCGGGAAATGAAGTCCATACCGGCGGCAACCTCCTCCAGGTGGCGCTGGGGTGGTGGTTGCGTGGTGCCCGCCATGACCATGATGGGCGAGGTGGACAGGGGCACGTCGGTGGATAGGGTCAAGGTGTGGGATGGTGGCGTAGCGTGGCCGGCGATGGGGTGCGGCATGGCAGGGGGAAGAGCGCTGCGTGCACGGGTGATGGGCGCGTGGTGGGGGAAGAGGACGGTATGGTGGCGGATCCACGGTGATGCTCCGATAGCCAGATGCGAGTGCGATGGGGAAGAGCACACCTTTTGGGCTGTCCGCTAGGCAGGCCCGTGAAAAGAGCGTCCGGATGGGGGTGGACGCTCGTGTCCAAGTATTAGCGAAAATTTATTCTTATTATTAGAACCTGGTCCGCGGATGGTCTAACTAACAATAAAACTGTGAATTGAAATATTGAGTAGTTTATTATCAATCTAATGTAAATAAATGTATCTACAAGTTATACGCATATACCTGCGCGGCTACCATATGAAAATCGAGAGAGGTATCTATTATAACCATGAACGGATGGACCAATCCTTACCATATACCAACTAAGTCCTCACCGACTATAATCATATATTAAAATTATATATTTGTACAAATCCTCAGAGAAAGTCAAAGAACTCAATATTTAACAACATCAATACGTGGATATTATGAAAATTAATATTATGATATATTTACGAGTAAATATTTTTTGTACCTTACAATATAGGAAAAAAATATATCAAAATTATATTTAACTCAATACAACCTTAATAGGATATTGTCATATTAGTACCGTCGATATTAATTTATACTGTGGATGTCATGGTCACCGTAAAATAAATTATGGATTTTAAATTTTATATAATAATATAATATAAAAGATAAATAAATATGTAACGTTTTCATCCTTACTTTCTATTAACATTGACAACTTTTTTTTTTCTTCCGTTGTAACGCACGGGTAATTTTGCTAATACTACTTATGTGGGAGACACTATTGCCTCGAACAACTGTTAGTCGACCCTGTCATCACACCAACATCCATTGGTAAGCATTTCAAAGCAAGCTATGGAACCATCATTGACAATGAGCTAATGATATTTGATCTACCCCTTATGACACTCTACTGCATTGTTGTGGACTATACTATGACCATGTTTATTTTCACCTGTGACCACAGACTCGTGAAGAAAAAATAAAGCCAAACTATGTCCCTTGCACTTCTCACAAGCTTCTTGCACAAACATTCACGACTTTGTCATAATCTTGGATGCTAAACCTGTTTTACGCTCCTTGGTCGTCACCATGGAATAAATAAAATTTGAGCCATAGTCGTCATAACCGGCACATTTTACATAGTTGTTCCCTTCGTCGATATTGACAGTAATGCTAAAATTTTGAGAAACATATGAAAAGATTGATCAACGATCTTAGAGCGATGATGAAAGGACAATTTTAGATGGAGAGGTTTAGAGCACAACTGCGGAAGCAGCAGCGTGGAAATTCAAAGTGCCTCAGTGATTTTTATGGACATGCCAAAAAAAACCATTAGTGGCTAGATTGGATATCTCTTATGGATGCATTTTATCCATTCCATAGGCCATAGACATTATATAAAGTGTCCTTATCTTTTCTCACCATGGAAAAAATGAGTTGTACTCCATAATGCTATTTAAATTCTATACCATCGTCTCTTTCTGTACTTGAGTTTGGTCTGCATTCTTTATTTTTTATATATCTTTTGATAGATCTAGACATTACAATCTAGACCTATAGGATCAATGTGGTAGTTCTAGCACATGAAAGTGAAAGAGAAGACCTTTTAATTTTACTTATAGCAATACACTGATTTTTATTTATGTTTTTTACAACATATGAAAAAGAAAGACTTATTTTTAATTTTTTATGTTAATTTAGATAGTTCCTAATTACAATTTATATTGACTACTTATTTGGGTACCTTTTCCTTTCCAATTCATTATGAGATAAAAAAAATATTTTTTTCATAGTTTTTATTTAAATGTCGCCTTTACTAATTGTGTTATACATGGACCTTTTAATTAGGTATTTTTTCTTTCCAATATTTAGCCACTTTTTCTTTCCAAACTCATACGAAAATCAAAATGTTATTTTTTTCTTAATTTATTATTTCAAATTAACTATTTATTAATTGTATTAGGCATAGACTCTTTGATTTAATCTAATACATTAGATCATCGTAAAATCCAATGGTTTATATTATTTTCTTTTTTTCGTTAATCATGTTATTTCTAGATTCTATCGGCAAACGGTCAGATTCTTTTTAACAATGTTGTATCGATGTATAACAAGAACGTTGTGTGAATGAAAACTAACAAGAACAGATGTAATTGCACGGTCTATTTACAAAATTCACTGGAGTGTTTAGTGAATTTAGTGGTGCCTTGTTGTATATTCTTCGCATGTACTAGCAGGGAAAAAAAAGGAGGAAACTTGTATGCAAGGATACCTAACCTAAGATTCTAATTTTAAGCTCTGCAAGCTTATAAAGGCACTGGAAACCTAGGGAGTGCTGTGCTCTCTCCGAAGGGGGTTGCTCTGGGAAATTTCAGAATTCGGTTCAATCATATCCAATCATACCTTCAAATTCTGGGGAATTTCAGAATTCTGGGGGTTCGGGATGAAGATCATATCCAATCATACCTTCAAATTCCAGGCCCATTTACGTCAATTGGGCAGGAAATCAACCCACACTCATATATTTCACTATGACAGAACGTGCAGGCAGGCGCACACCAAAATATAAATAATTTTGAAAGGGAGTTCGTTACTAGAAACTGTCTTTGGCGCGAGCCCCAAGTCCTGAGGACCTGAATAAACTTGCTGAAAACTCAGACCTGAATTAAACATGCTCAGAACTCAAATCATCTATGAGCTAAACCTAGTGGGGTAATATTCCACTTCGAACTATAGCTTCTAATTGATTGAATGTTGTGATACGTATATCATCACAAAATTTATTTGTGCCACCATTGCTTTTAGAAGGCGAGCTCCATGCATTATTTCTTACAACCCCGCTGTGGGATGGATTGCATCCATGAGTTTGTACCGTTTCTCTTGAACACCAGCAACACCCATTTGTATCTCAATTATTGTATGCAGAGGTATCTGCAGGAACATATTTTTAGCCACAGTAAAATAATCAATTACTATCTCTAATTAGAAATATAAGTCCATCTATGTTTGTGTTAAGTCAAATTTGTTTAAGTTTGACTTCTAATATCTATAAACATATACATGAAAATCATTATATATTATAAAGATAGTTTCCATAATGAATTCAGCCAAGCCAAACTATGTTGTCTAACTATACAATTTTTTAGATATTGATAGCCAAAGCTAAACAAGTTTGACTTAGGACAAGCCTAGATGGACATATATTTCTGACCGGAGAAAGTACTACAAGTTGGCACAAAATGCCTTACCTCAATATTTGGGACTTCCTCGAGTGGTTTGTCCGCAAAATATGCATAAAGTGCTCTTAACATAGCCTATACAGAATATTCTTCTCAGGCATCTACAATAGCTTAGTACCAAAAAGAACAGAAGGCTGGTCCTTCTTACCTGGTGAGCTATGACTACAACTGGAGCACGCTGTCATTCAAGCTCAATTATTACAGGTTCTAATCTGGACAGAGAGGAATTTTAAGATTAAGTGGCGATGCATATAAGTAACTGAATCATGTATAGAGGCATGCAATAGTATCAAGTAGGCCATACCAACCTTTGAATGACGTCAAGGTAGGATTCTCCTCTCGGATAACGATACCTCAGCTTGTATTTTCTTCGTGATCTGAGAAGGTATATAACATGAGGCAAACAGAATGGGGGAGGGGAGCTACCGAAAAATTGTGTAATAACAAGGGTCTCCAATCAGATTTACAAGCTAGTGGAACATTGATCAAAATTTCAGTGATGAAGGGGATTTTTTTAACATAAAATGCCATGATATCAGTGAATTCACGTACTCATATTCTTCAGGTTTACTTTTCTTTATTTCATCGTATGTCATCCCATCACAGACCCCAGCATTTATCTCGTCAAGAGCACGCCATTGTATCTAGAAGAACACAAGAAACAAATTTGTTTTGGTAACACTTCTATAAGTAGAGGACAGTCTTGCTAGACCGTTTTCTATCACCTATGATAGCTAACCTTTGGAAAACCAATGATCGGATGTGCTGTTAATATTGTTCTCTGGAGTGTGCTAGTCCATATCTGAAATCATTGTTGCAAATAAACCTAATGATTATTTTCCCCTTCACTGAACAGAGAAGCAAATGGCATACTTACAGAGGCAGTCTGCTCGGACTTCAGTCGCTTCTCCACAAAGCTTGCAAGCTTCCTCGAATAAAGCTCACCGGCCTCACTGCATACCAATTATTCCATCACATGAAAATCAAAAGCAGAAAGCCAAATTAGCATATACCAAGAATTGCCCAAATATTGCATCCATACAAGCATACACAAAGATGAATGGAGTTATTTTTCCCATACATGTAACTCCCTCGCTTTTCCCCCCTTTCAAGGTAAGAGCTCACAAGTTTGTTATGTCTTTACCACCAAGGCTTATACCTCGGTCTATCACAAGTCCAATTTACAGTACATATATCACAAAGTTCATCAATGATAATATAATAAATAATACGACACTCAACTCAAAAGAGGAAAAACAAGGGTGAGGTGGTGTTTGTTTGCTCATAACTTCATTCCTACTTACTGCAATGACATGCAGTTCTCCTGTTCACTTAAGGAAAAAAATGAGAGAAAAAATTAGCAAGAAACGATTTTTTTTTTTACTTGGACTTGATCTTCTGATCTTTCGCTTTTACTGGTTGCGCATGTTGACATGCAAGATCACGAACATTTGAAACTTATTATGGATTTTTCCTTAGCATGGCACCCAAATTAAAATGACAGCAAAGAGGTAAATACCAAACTGCAGAACAAAGAAATCAAAGATACTAATGACAGAAATACAAAATAAAGAAACATAAGACCTCAAAGAAGAGTCTCCACCGATTCTTCCTCTGACATTATCCATACTTTCGCCATGTCTTGTTAGCAGGATAGGACGAGGCGTCAGATGACAGTTAACCTGTAACAATACATAACCCAGTTGAAAAAACTCATCATGATTTGACCTATATCTGTCAGTGGTGTGTTGAATTCTCCAGGTTCAAGCGAGAGAAAAAAAAAAGATGCAGTGAGGATTCACTATGACGCAATCACCACATTGTGAAGATAAAGAGCAGAATAGAAATTTGACAAAAATATTCATATAAACATAAAACTAATCAGATAGACCCCAGCAGATTAGATAGCTGTACCATTGAATCGCTAAACACAACACAAATTACGATTTGACCTACAAGGGTACACCAAACTGCAAAGATATCCAGTAGTCTTAATGTGCGCACAACAAAAGGATACGATTTTCTGTGTATGTACCAAGAAGAAAACAATCCGTCCAGGCAAGCAACCACTTATGTCATTAATCTGCATGAAAACCAAAGTAGGGTATGAGATTAGGAATATGCCACTAGAAGCAAGGCTACAAGGTATGTCAGTAGTATATTCAAAACAGTGCATATGCTTCTACTCGATATATTAGTATTTGTATGATAAGCAAAAGAACCAGTTCAAGATTGTACAATTAAGCAATCATAAAGTAGCAATATCACAGGGAATATAACTTTTGATATTACTTTTACATGTGTCACTTGACTGTTCATACATACCTTTAGTTGGCCCCCCTTCCCACTAACCATGTCGATCATTTTTATGTAAGAACCTTCTACCACCGGTTCATAGACCTGAAAAGGTTTCAAAATGTTTACATATAACTATATTATATTCTTGACAAAAAATTGTGTTCCTATATAATATAGTTTGGCAATTACAGACCTTTTCATAATAGGTCAATCGCTCTTTGAAATCTTGTACACCAGCTTCAAAATCTGTTCTGTAACATTGAAGACAATGATTGCATAAAATGGTGCACCAACAGGATGCAAATAGGCAGGCAAATAATTTATTTCTTACTGCTCTGCATAATCGGGACTTTGTTGAACTTTCAATCGTATATTTCTCTCAAGAACATCTTGGTCATTACATAATGTTTCCAAAAAGATGATCTAGAAAGCAAAGGCAAGGAGCCATATGTTAAAGGGAAATAGTAATACACCCTAAACCATACAGAGCACAGGAGCTTAATATAGTGTTCCATAATGTACATATGACGCGCCTCATGAAAAATCTTATCTGAAAATCTGTTTTGTGCAACTATACAAGATTACTTTATAAATGCTGTCACAAAACAAACCAAATATTCTTCCAAAGGAGTGCACTGAATCTTCACTTGTTTTAAACTGTTTGCATTGAAAAAAGAAAACTTCACACATTTTTTCAATAAATGAGGCAAATGGTCCAAATTTCACTCTTGTGATTGTAGTCACCCACCCTTTCCCTAAGCAAATCTAATTATCTGATTACAGGTCTTAAACATGTTCATCAACCTCTGCCCACACTACCATATAACAAATAACCCTTGGTAGTTTAGGGACAAAATTGAGCATCGAGGGATAGTTCAGGGACAAAACTGGCTATTCCGCCAAACCTAAAGTATTACATATTGAGAGCAAATTAGATTATCCAGAAAAGCCATTGCTGAGGTACTTATGTTCCTGTTGCTGCCACCCAACTGGAACCTAGACTAATAAATCTACCAAAGTAGTTGTTTCAGCCTTTAAGGCTCAATTTCGAAGTGTCCATATCAGTGCTCAAACTTTACTTTTGGGCTCAATTTCTCCACGAACTATCAAAGTGGCCATTTTAGTCCTCAAACTTTACTTTGGGGCTTTTTTTTTCTCAAACGTGCATGAGCACAGGATTCATTAAGCAGGAATAGAAGTTTACTGAAATTACAAAGATGCATCACAAGCCAGAAAAAGAACCGTACTCTTTGTGGCGCCGAAGTCTTCCAAATTTCCTTCGCTCCCAGCGGCCTTGATGATCCGAAGAACATTGCTCCATACGCCGACGCCGCTGAGTAGGATCTATCTGCCGTGAGCCTCCAACGGAAGACATCCGGTACCCCGGGCACTAGCTGCACCTGCTGCAGCCTACGCCAAACTTGCACGAATTGAGTGAGCACCTGAACTGTGAACGCCCCAGTGATATGGCGCACCCAAGCCCGACCCAGAAGCGCATCACAGACTAACGCCTTTCGTCTTCTAGCTGACACCGCCCCAAAGAGCACAGGTGCCATTGCCCGGATGCTCATGCCAGCGATCCAGTTATCTGTCCAGAAGAGTGTTGATTCACCTGAACCAATGCTGGAGACGGTAGCTGCACAGAACACTGCGACCACCATCTTTTCTCTCCTGTTCGGCAAGGCGACCCAAGTATTAGTCGGATCAGTCTGACATTTCCATTCCCAGCGGACTCGGAGCGGACACCTTTACTTTGGGGCTCATCCTTGCTCCTCATCCTACGTGGCATGCCACTTTCATTTCATGCCTCATCAGCTCCAGCACCACTCATCCTACGTGGCACACCATGTTTACTGTTCTTGAGACACTAAAGCAAATCCTGGAGGCGTTGCAGCTGAAAGGCCTTCTCCACCACAACACTCCACCACCTGCACCCGCCTGCAGCCCTCCACCCCATTGTTGTCATGCAATCGTCCCATTGTGCACAGTTGTAGGTCACGCCGCCTTTGGCATAGTTGACGGCCACGTGTGGCATCGACCATGTGCGCCACCTGCAGTCACTAGACCCAGCTGTGTCACCCGTGCGTATCCCAACATCCCTAGCTCAACACAACCTGCAGTTCTCTCAACAGCGACCATTCACCTCCGCTCACGATGGAGCTGGGGCTGATGAGGCATGCTAAGGACGAGGAGCGAGAATGAGCCTAAAAGAAAAGTTTCAGGACTGAAATGACCACTTTGACATTTCATGGACGAAACGGAGCCCAAAAGTTAAAGTTTGAGGAGTGCAATGGCCACTTTAGTAGTTCAGGGACGAAATTGAGCATCGAACGATAGTTGAGGAACGGAAATGGCTATCCTGCCTTTAGGTTTTTTCATGGTAACTCCTGTTTTGCTGAGTTTGCTGGCAAGATCAATCTGTGCATGGTAAATATATTCTCAGTTCATTATATTTTAGTGTTAAATGAGAATATTGATAGCTCCCATGATCCTAACATGGAAGATAATGACGTGTTTCAAATGCTCTGGAGTGCCTGATCCTATATATAGTGATAGGATGGAGTAGTGTTTATTTTTTGAGCCAGATAAGACCAAATCTCTTGCTGATATAACTTTTTATGCAGTAGCTTCTAATAATGGCTTTCAACATGCATGCATTACTAAGAAGCAACTGGCCATGACCTTTAATCTCCACACCATGGCGCCAAATGCATAGACTATTCAAAGAGGTTTCCACTTTGTAACCGAGGGAAGGTCCTTTAGAGAATGCAAGTACATGGATCCAGTCTAGATGATGATAATACTATTCGCCAACTGTAAACTGCCAAGTAAATTTCTTAGCTCTTCAGGAATGAATACACAAGAGAACCTTATTAGAAGGCCACCCTTTCTCTATTTAGATCATGTTCACTAGGTATGCACATCTACTACTTTAGAAGGGAAGGGAGGGGGGAGGGGCAGGCTACCACAAGAACAAAGGTATCTACAAGGAAAGGAACAACATTCACCCTGATATACGGAGTGCACCCACCATACATGATTTGAAAATGTCATAACTTCTAAATGCAGTGGGCATGAATGCTTGACAGCTGGAAAAGTGACATGTGAACATGGCTGACAACTGCCAAACAATACTATTGGCACTTTTTTTAATGAAATGACACGTAGCACTCCTGTTTAGTTCGAGATAAAAAATACTACTGCCACTTGGCAGGAGACAAAAAATTCAAACAACCAAAAGGATGCCCAAGATGCACACAATGATTTAATCATACCTTACATTTTCCTTCAGCCACTTTCATCAGCATGTTTCTCCGTCTTCTTGTGCTGTTTGTGGCATCGAAAATACCAACCTGCAGACCAGCTGAAAGTAAATCATCGAAAACCACTAACGCAGTGCTACCAAATCAATGCCCTACCTGACCACCTTCCTGCATCCAAGATAGCATATCTTCCATTGCTAATGCAGCCACCTGAAAAAGCATGGGGACGATCTTACAAGAAAAAAGAGAAGAAAATATTATATGTTTCTAGAAAGGCATGCCTGATGCAATTCACTAACCTCGTTACGTGCCTCCACACCCTCCCTGTTATCTCCACAAAAGAAATCAGCAGTCTGCTCAAAAATAACAAGATGCTATTAGAAATTCTTCCTGGACAGGGTTATATAGGAGCAAAAAGAAACTGGAATTGCAAGCTATATATTTCATAAAAATATCGAGAATTAAATAGGAATCTGAGAATAGTAATGGATATATCGAGAATTAAATAGGAATCTGAGAATAGTAATGGATGTGCCGCTACACCCCCCCCTGCTCCTGCTGAAAAGAACGGTACGATACGATGAGTCAAAAAGTTACCTGATTAGTTCCATGTTTGAGCCGGCGGTACTAGAAAAAAATAGTAAACATGATTAGTGGTACCATACACATGCAATTTTCTCTACAAAATTAGCTTAAGCTAAATGATCACCTTTCCAACATTGAAGTGTTTTGTTTCATGACCTAACCATCTGAGATATCTTGTAAGTTTAGCTGCTGTAAAGGTACCACGAGCTGGTTGCCCAACCTAGAATATCAGCACATGATTAAAAAAAGAACTGCGCTTGTCTGAAGGAAAGTAAGGCATCTCAATGAATTAACAGGAATAGTTCCAGCTATCTGAATATATGCGTACCATCTTTTATATGCAATATATAGAGCTGAACCATGCACACAAAAAAGTCTATATTTTTGTAAGGCTGTGCTGTATTTTTTTTTAAAGGAAAAAATTGCTGTCATAGCACTCAATCCAAAATAAAGAGCAGGCCTGGTGCAAGCGGTAGAGTCTTACCGCCTGTGACCGGAAGGTCCCGGGTTCGAGTCGTGGTCTCCTCACATTGCACAGGCGAGGGTAAGGCTTGCCACTGACACCCTTCCCCAGACCCCGCACAGAGCGGGAGCTCTCTGCACTGGGTACGCCCTTTTTATAGCACTCAATCCAAACCGTTTTGCTGCAGTACCATCATTTTTAGGGTTGAAAAAATACCACTGCATCTGTTCCCCTCCCCCTCCTCTAGCACTTTGTCAACCTCTGTCAGCGTCGCCTTCTCTGGTGATCTCTGTTCTCTCTGATAAGTGGAGGGAACCAAAGAGAGGCGAGAGGAAAAGCAAGCTGGCACTTGCCTGCTGTAGCATGTGCGATGACTTGGCAGCCTAGGGCACACATCTCCACGAGCTCCTCACGGCTTCTCCTGTATCATACCATTGCTCTAGGTGCAGGGCTTGGTGGGCGGGCAGCTCAGCAACCAGGCAGAGTGTGAGGCTTGCTCGTCCCCTGATTAGCGGTGGTGGCTTGATTTGCAGCAGTGGCTCGATTTCAGCGACTGCTTGTTTTGTGCAAAAGAGGGTCCAAGGGCACCAGGGAGGAAGGCATGTGAAGGGGGATGGGGTGAGGATAGCAGGGAGGTGACAGACTATTAGAGATATATATAGTCTGTCTAACACATGTATATCATGTAACTTGTACTCCAAGTTGTATCTTGACTATATATATGAAAGCCACCCCTTTTTTTGAGGTGTTCCCATAATTCTCTACATGGTATCAAGAGTGTAGCACCCGATTTTAAGAACAAAACCAGATACACACCATATGTGAGCCCAGGAAGTCAAATCTCACATATAGCTATAAATAAGGGTAATATAGAAAGACAATGCTCAATATATAACGTACTTAATATAAAGGATATAACCTTAGACAGCAGACAGCGGAAAGACAACTCCGATCTTCAGGTGAAGACTCCAATTCCACAGGGACAACTGACTGGTTGATCACAAGCCTAATTCCTCCAAACTCTAGCAATCTGGTACCCATCCAGGATTTTTCCAAAGATTTAAAAAGTAAAACAAGCATAAGTACATGTCGTAATCAACAAATATAACATGGGGTTCATGAGACTCAAAAGTCTGACACTGGTTTAACTGCGATTAGCTTTTAATGAGTCATCTTTTAGCAATTAGGTGGCAACAAGTTTATTCACAAGCCCACATAAACACATGATCAGGTAAACATGAATAATGAATAGCACAAACAGTAATCATTAGTGAGCATCTTCATCATCAGTATCATCTGTGTTCATCATCTATTCCGTAAGGGTTTCAAGGCCGCTCGTGACCGTGAGCACGGCTGATATACCAGTTTTACACTCTGCAGAGGTTGTACACTTTCACTGTGAGTCGTGATTTACCCTTTCGCCCGAGGTAGCTAATTTCTTGACCCACTTCTAAGGAAGGTCGGCAGGGTTTACTATAAAGCCTTTCAAAGGTTCATCTAACAAGTTATGACCATTAGATTCACTCGGCAAACAGATGTAGGAACCCCCTTCCGATGCCACAATGACACACAGCCTATACACAAGGGGACAGAGGCTGTCCTATACCTGATTCGGCAAGCCATTCTTACGCCAATAAAGGTAACCTCTAACAAGCTAGAAAAGGTCCTCATACTGAGCTAAAGCCAGAGCCATGTAGCCCTCACAGTTGTACTGTAAGTCCCGGATATTCGCTTACAGATAAGTCCTTAGGGAGAGAAATCTAGAGCACCATAAAAACAACCCAATGCTCTAGTCCCCTGATTCCATGTTGGTAAAAAACATATTTTAGTGTTTATTGTATATACCATTAGTCAAGTTACAAGATCATGGTTTCAGTTGAGCACTAGCATCATACTAACCAATGCAATACCCCATAGGTGACAAGGAATCCAAGATATTAAATAGCTAGGAAAATTACTACGGTTGCCAAGATAGACACATACAGTATGAATTAAATGATTAAAGGTGTATAGGACAATAAGAAAAATCACATGCTATACTTGCCTTAAACTTAGATCTTTCTTGTAGTCCAAACCTTCAAAGATCTGCTTCTTGATTCACCACGTATAGCTCACCGACTGGACATGATCATAGAGCACCACACAAAGCATCCATGCAATCATACACGAAGCAAACAATAGATCTAAATTAGAACAGTACACCAAACATAAAATCAAGATGAAAAGTTTGTAAAACGAATCTACATCTCGCTACGAACACACAGACGCGAAAAACACTCTAATCAGAGCTATAACGAAAAAATTATGAATTAAACAAGATTTCCTTTAATAAAATAATAGATTAAATCTAACCTCGAATTTCAAAAGTTGAAAATATATTTAACAATAGGATGAACATGTAGATTACTCAATTACGAATCTAACGCAACTTGAATGGATCAAAACGGAGTTAAAACGAAGATTTTATGGCTTAAATAAGACTAGTGGCAAAACTGTAAATAGATGAAAGTGTATTTTGGATCTAACCGAAGAAATTATGTTTTCAAAAGAATAAAACGTATTTTGAATCTAACAGAGGGATTTTACGCTTTCTGAAAGAGAAATCGTATTCTGAATCTACTAGAAAGAAACTACGCTTTCGGGATAGAAAAACGTATTCTGAAAGTGCACCATGGACTGCGGGTTATATTACGCGAAATTGCAGGGGCTTTTTTGCAAATAAACCCGGCGAAGGGGTACGGGCGATCTTGGACCGTTGGATTGAATCTGGATGGTCCAGATTAGAAAGGAGGGGGGGAGAGAGTCACTGGTCGGAGAAGAAAACCGGCGCGGCGGAGCGGCGAGAAGCTCCCCGGGGCGCTTGGTTTGGGCCCTAGAGGCCACAGTTAGACGAGCCGAGAGCACAGGGAATAAGAGGAGAAGACGGCGAACTCACCTAGGGCCTTCTTGCGATCGACGGCGGGTCTACGACGTCGGGCAGTGCGGCGGCGACGGCGAGAGGAGGATAAAAATCTAATTTACTACACGAGGAATTTTCCAAACTAGAGGCTCCCCTTACGGTAGTTTTGGTGTGCTTTGCCCAAAGGGTTGGTACATATTTATAGGAAGAAAAACTCCCCACATCTACATCAACTAGCAATATGGTACAAATTGATGTTGCACCCTCCACATTTACTAATGGACATAAATAATCATTAAAGCTCATTAGTAAATAAATGCATGGGCCTTTGAGATTTATTAGGATTATTGCACATGGGCTTTGAGAGTTGGTTGAAAAATGAGATATATTATTTATTTTCGGAATTAATTAATTTCGCGAATAAAATAATTCTAGAAAAGTCCAGAATTGATATTTAAGCCACGAAAAATACTCCAAGACCTCTGAAAATTTGGGGAAATTCCCAGAGATACTTTGGAACATGATGAACCCAAATAAAGTATTTGGATCTCATGAAAAGATTGTTGGGAACTTGGAACATAAAGATTAAGGTGAAGGTAGGAATTAAATTCCAGAAAGAAGCTGAAAAATTCCTAGAGATAGATATTCGTCTCCTAAACGTATTTAAAAAAAACACACATTTTGCACATAGAAACACAAGGTGCGACCGGCATGAATGCAACAAACATGTTTCTACCTTAAGATAAATTTTAATCTAATGAAAATTTATTATTTCCCCATGTTTTCATGAGCATAAAAATACAAAATTAAATCATTTTAGCTCTATTTCAAGAGAAGCAAATTTTAGGGTGTTACAAAGAGTCTGGGTCCCCTTCCGGCTCCTTCCTCTACCCTAACTTCTCTTCTCTCCCATGCCGCCGACTCCACCATGGCCACCCACCTCGCGACGCCTCTGCGCACGACTTCCTCTGCCCACGGGTCCTTTTCCCCATGCGCATGATCCCCTCCTCTCCACCCCTCCCGGTCGCGGCTCCTCTCCGCCCCTCCCGATCCCTCCCTGACCGGCTTCCCATGATACTCTACACAGACGCAGGAGACCTTGCCACTTCCAGATTTGGGCTGGATGTGAATGAGCATGAGCTATGTTCATGGGGTTAAATGGAGGATGATTCAAGGTGTGATATGGACCATTGATTTGCTATCTAATGGTACAGTGCTAGATGAAGCATGATTCGGATGTATTATTTTTACAATATGGCGAAAAATGATAGCATGGGAGCAAACCCTTCAAATTAAGTGCTATCAAAGAAAGTGCCTCCATTTTTTTTATCGGTGCAATACCTAAAGGAAAAAAAGCTTGCTGGATACACAGTGACAGTGCTGTTTGACTCATGTACATAAGTACATCAGAACAATTGAACAAATGATGTGCAAACTAGGCAGATGAGGTTGCATATTTCAAAATAGGCCACTCATATCACTTAGCAAGTTATTCTTTGTGGATTTTGGGCTGAGCAAAAACTTCTGCTACAACAGATTCTTATAGTCTTACGAAATCATTGTTTTTTATATTTTATACAGAAAATGACAATTCCCCAGAAATGGAAGACACTTATCTAGCTTCAAGTTTAAGTAATCTACAATAACTGTGTCATAGCTACCAAGGTAAAATGAACATTCTAACTGTACGAGATTTACCAACACAATGGCCAACTTGTGGTCCTCTTTTGGCCCATACATCTGATCAGCTACTGCAGCTGCTGCAACAGCCCCTTCTGCTGCTGGCATACCCTGCTGGAGGCAGCTGTCAGAAGTTAAGGTGACAAAAAATGAAGCAACAAGTTTTAGCAGATTCAGATGCTGTTACAACGAATATCATAGGATAACAAGAAATCAATCTTTCCACATATATGTGGCAGAATGTAATAGTGAATCAAAGAAAGGGTGAAATGGAAATAGGTGTCCTGGATATCTCTTGGCCCTTTGAGCTTGAGAGTTCAAATTAAAGCAGAAGCCAAGGGTTGATTCTAGCTACTTAACTTCATGAGCTTCAACATTGTGCAACTTTAATTGAAAGAGTGAAGCATTGAAGCACAAGTAGGGGATGCAAGTTTTGTTTCTTTCTGGGTAATTGGGTTGATAAGAAAACTTATCAAATTGAGCTAATCTGACTTTCAAAGAAAGAAAAATGGGATGCAAATGAACTGAAGTAGTAACCCAAAAGTACCCATTGGGTACCCAATTGCATCCCTAAACACAAGACATGTTTCTATGCATTGAATGTTGTTGGACATTTGAGATAACTAGGTGTGCAGCGCATGTTACAGCAAGGGAATATTTGTTTCTCTTGCCCACCATTCCCCAACCTTGCCAATGGGCAAGAAAGAAAATGCTTCTGAAGTATATTCTTCCTTCCCTGGAACCAAAGATACCCTAACCAGTTGTGAAGTTTCCCTTTGGTACTTACAATTTAATAGTACCTATTAGGACATATCAAATAGTTCAGGCCATTGGCCATTCCGTACATAAACTCCTATTTCTATCTTAATTGAGAGGCAGAGCTCCTGCCATGTTTTCAAAAAAAAAAAATCAAATAGCTAGTGATATAGCATATATATAGAGATTATACTTGCTATAAGCCCACGAGTAATAAGTTTTACTAAATCTAGTGACATGAAGTGAATAATGTACAACCTTTGATTCAGAATCCAACTTAAAGTTGCTCATCGAAAAGGTTTCCTTTGTTGGTCTTGCAAATTTTGGTGAGCCAACACCTCTATCAACAAACATTACCCTTTGTTCTTCCAGTGATGGCGCATGCCCTCCAATTGCACTCTGAGCAAAAAATTAGAAAACATCTCTAGATTAATTACATTTAGAACTGCTATATGTATATATATTCATAGGGCTATATACAACAGATGGCAAGAAAGGGTCAGAAATCAGTGTTTCTTCCATCTAAACAAGATGAAAATGCCATGCTGACCACACCAGAGACATAAATCACAGCAAAGTGCATAAGTATAGGCCAAAACTCTTTCAGGCAGAAAATGCTAGCTATTAGATATTCAAGGTGGAGAAATCTAAATGATCAAAATCTTGTCGAGAGATAGATCCATCCATTGTCTGGTGTTGCACCAACAATATGTATGAGAAACTTGAAGAAATTTGATACTATGTGGCTTATATTCCAATAAGTAAAGGGAAGTTGGTAAGTTCATGACCATAAACCCACGCACTTCAGAACTAGGATTAGTTCTTTATTTCAGAGTGAATTAAATAGCTAAAAGCAAAAGTTAACTGGCTGCATGCTTGAACAAATTATGATGACACTATTGAAGTTATTCTAAGCTCCCAAAATTCTCACATATTTCAGCCAATAGTGCATCTACCTTTTCTATAGTGGAACACCTAAATTACCATAGTTGCATGATTTTAAGCTAAGAATTAATCAAACAATGAAACTGAAGTTATACCTTCATAGTGTTAACATAGTGATTCGAGGATGAATCGCCTTTAGTTGAGCTGTGCAAAATGTCCTTTGTGGTATCATTGTTTGAGGAATTCCCAGTTTGCAATAATGAGCGTGGATTTTCAGTCAAGTTAGCTGCATAAACAACACTTGAGCCCATGTTTGGTGTTGGAACTACATACTTCTCTAAATCAAGCTCCAAACCAGAAGCGAAGCCATTCTGTTTGAATGAACAAGAGAAAATTGGCAGAATGGAAAAGGAAGCAGCATTTACTTTGATATAGAAACATAGACAACAGCTTTGTGGGAAGAGTGTTCCTTTAAAAGCATGCGTGAGCCCGCACTATTCTTGACCAAAATAATTACTTTAGTTCAGTCCTTTATGGTTAGACATATTTTACAATGTCGGTTCTATCTGTACCTAAGAAATATTGTGGTTTCTCACTTTCAATGGTGACAAGTTAGTATAGTACGTTTTTAAATGCTTGCAACTCTTCTTGAGGTAAAAGAGTCATCATCAAAGTTTTAATGCATTATGCAAAGATCCCCAATTGTCACAAATCCTCGTTACAGTTCGAAACGGGCCATTAAACATCTTGGCATTTTCCCAAAAGATGGGCATACATACACTCATACTCTTCATAGTGATATGCTTTGTAATTCAACAATATTTTTGCTAAAATATTTACAGTCCTACTCACATATCTCCAGTAAGTTCATCATGTCAATATCAACTAATAGTAGAAAAAACAACACTTAGAATAAATGTGTTCTCCTAGGGCCCAAAGAATTGTCAAGTCCCACAACCAAGTAGAAAAATGTGCCAAGTTGTCTACATCTACAACAGCACTCTCGAAAGTAGCAGACTGTTAAGTGTCGGCCATTGCTTGGTAACCATTTAGACTGTGGCCAGTGACACTAGTCAAATAGTTGTTTTTATAACCAATCTTGCAACTTTTAAATTTCTATGCATATAACTGATCTATGCGTGTCCAAATATAAAATGAAAACAGTGAAACAGACCTTGGCCCCGCCTTCTAACCCAGGGTTGATAGTGACATCATGGGTCCCTCGCACCCTTGAAGGCTGAAAATACTCCTGATGAGCCCTCCAACTAGTCGCCAGGTCAAATGGGGATAACATTTCTGTCTCAACCTGAACCTTGCACTCAAGTACCTCCTTCCCTTCATTGAGTTTAAACACCGCAGTCCTCATTTCAAATTCATTGCTCTGGCAACCCAGTGGTCGGTTAGGTCCCTCCTCAATAATGTATTGAGAACTATCATCTTTTCGCTTCAAAACAAACTTGAAATCCAGCGATTCTAGTGAAAACACAGAACTACTTAGACTGCTAACAACTGAAACGAAATCCGACTGAACATGTAAGAAAAATCCTCGGCAGCAATTGACAAATCACTAATTTTCATTTTTAAAGCACAACTTCACACACTACATTGTTTCCCTCACACACAAGAATTCATTCATTCCCAATTAGAAGTAGCACAGACCAATTACTGAAATATCAGTGCATGCGCATCCCAACGGCATAGCACGGATTGCGCTCGTCCTATCCCAAACCTCGCTATGGAGGAACCAAGGACCTCTGCGGCCCAGCGAAGTTATCAAACTCCAGGATCGAATCAACCGACTTACCGTGCTGCGAAGGCACGACGCAGCTGAACTCCCACACGGCGGTGGCCGCCCGCTCCAACGGCAGCTGCGTGGGAAAAAAAAAAACCGAAACGAGTAAAAAATCCGCTCCGCGCACACATCACGCGGGCTAGAGGCGATCCGGATCTTACGGCCTTGCAGGGGTCCCACGAGCCAGCCACGGGGTGGGAGACGAAGAGGGGGGGGGGCGACGTCGAGCTCCGCGAGGCGCGGGCTTGGAAGGTGCCGGAAGGAAGCGCCGATGTCGTAGGCTCGCCGATTCGGAGTGGGGCCGACACGGGAGCGCGATGGGTGTTACAGTACAGAGGACAGAGGATATACTTCCAGTGACACAGCAAGCGGGGCCAGGAACATATCTTGGCCCACCAGTCAGTAACTAATACGGTGATAACGACAGTAAGACAAGCCTGAACTGAAGCTGGGAAAGTGGGAATTTGGTGCGCGACGGTGACGGTGCGGGAGCGTCTCGCTGCCTCGTGGGCCCAGGTGAGGTGGCGAGCCGTCCCCGATCCCGTCTCCACGGAGTCTAGTGGGAAAAATGGGAAAACCTGCGGGGAAGTAAACGACGGCGACCGGCGGCGGCGCGTCGCCGCGGCGAAATGACGTCAGTTAGGACCCTGATCGACCAGTTGTCTCTGCAGCGAATTCACCCACGAAGGGCAGCGCCTACGCGACCCAGGTACTTGTGGGATAATTTCATGATAGGATATGTCTTGCCCTCGTTCCTGTGTGAGTGATTTAGAAACCGATTCTGCATTTCTATGCCTGCTTTTGTCATGCTTCGCGCATTTGTTTGGATGATTCTATGATCGACCAGGACCCAAATGATCTCAACTCTCAAGGGAGTCCTATGTTGGTGGATTGGTTGTTTGTAGATGGTACAGAAAAAGCAAATAAGTAGGTGTGTGCTTATATGTACTATTCGCATAGAAATTTTCAGACCCTCAACTTGTATCCAAGAGATCAGCAACCGATGCCAGATAAATTAAGCTTTATAAAATGCAGCGTTATCCTCAAGATTTGGTGTAGTCCCCTTGGAGCCAACCTCGGCAAAACTTAATAATCTATGTGTCATAATAATCTATGTGTGATCTCAACTTTTATTTGGACGCACTTGAATTCTGATCACTCTGACTTGCTTGCATAAGTTTTTAGTTCTTGAAATGCTTTTCTGCATCCTTCGTCAAAGCCACCAGCAAGCTGCAAATTTGTTTTGGTGTAATCAGTTACTTAGTTTATGCAAATGTCATTGCGAAGTAATTTGTTGTTCGGAACAAGTTACCTGATGTATGCGGAAGGCGAAGCGGACACCTTGCAGAAGTAGCTCCTCGTCATTCGCAAATGGATCTGACTTCAGTGTGTTCACGATGCGGTTCATGTACTCTTTTGCAAGCTTCAAGGAAGCCTTCTTTAGCTGTTTAATGTAGGATGGGCATGCACTCTATTATTATATTTGGACTCCATACTTTGTGACAAAGTGCCTCTTCTTTATTGTGAGTTGTGACAGAACATACTGTGAAAGGAGTTTAGGAATACATACTTGGCTTATGACTCCAGAGTCGAGCATCCATTCCCATGGTATCTTAAGATCCTTATATCTTCCGCTTGCACTGTCCCTTACTCGTTCAGTGTTATGAATACCTTGTTCAATTCTACAACAAGGGAAAGTACAATTAGGTGAATGTTGATGTATTGATTTAGTACCATTCCGTAGAATTTAAAAGAAGCAGGTATTCAACAATTTTTGTTCTGTTAAATACATTTCAGTCATTTACTCACTTATCCTGCAGAGCTTGCATGCGCTTGAGAGCCATAGGTGTAGCCACTCTCCTGTCATCATGAAAGGATGATGCTTCTGATTCTAGGTTCTTCAGATCTCGGTAGTTGAATGCTGCTTCTCTCATAGCATCTGCTTTCTTCTCGGGCCAGTTAGGGAAGTGTTTGAGCACTGCTCTTTCATCCACAAGGTATGACAATTCCCCATCAAGCCACTTCACAAACTCTTCAACATCAGCTATCTCTTTGTATGCTGCATTTTGAACTTCACTTGCGAGGAAGTTCACAAAGTTGCCTTGATTTTCTACGTCTGATTTAATCTGTTGAAATGGAAAATATAAGGGGGTGTTTTAGACTTAGTTCTGAGAAGAGTTTGATAGGGGAAATAACTGACACTCCGAACAGTCACAAATAAACCATGGTTTGGGCATTGACATGGTACCCTGTAAACAACTTTGACCATTACTTTCTATTCCTTGTCATGTTATGAAACCCAGTAAAACTAAGTATTGTTAAAATACTTTCTACTTTCTATAAAACATGCACACATATATATAACCCAGATATTTAATTAAGACACATAGCAAAGGTTTTGCTGCACACATTCCCAAATGTTCTTTTTTATTAAGGGGGGCATATGGAGAATATTAAAGCATGGCTTAAGTTCTACACCATTTGTACAAACCATGATCCACCATTACAATTTTGCTAGTAGTGGTAAAACTAAAGAGTTGTCAACTCTAGAGTAACATCACAAAAGTTTTCTTTATTGTTGTTAGGATTCTTTTTTAAAAATCAAAGACATAATGTACATATATATGGTTTATGTAGTGAAGTGTTAACTTAAAAAGTCTCTGAAAACTATATATTAGTTGCCAACTGCCAAGATGGACAAGGCAGGGGTATCAGTAGTCTATCTCTGAATCAACAGCTAAACTGGTTGTAGGCAAGCCTCTTATCCACGAGGACCTCATTCAGAAACAAACCAAATGTTGGCTGCTCTCAAAGTAACACAGGATGGACAGAGAATATGTGATATATTCTGATGAGCAAGCTTTGAACAATGAGGGAGCATGTTATACAAGAAACAAATTTCCCTTTGGATATCATTAATTTATTGGTGACGATCCTTCTCCGATGTCTGTAATCCAATAAAGAACTGCTAGCTAATGCCTTGGAAAAAATATTGTCCCAACCATTTATTGAAAGTGTTTATTAAAAGAAAAAGAATTAAAGGGCAGAAGGAATCAGCAGATAAGTAGAACAATACGTTACACATCAATATGCTTGAACTTGATAGAAAAAAATATGTACTTACAGCTAAAACATAAGCTGATCTGTTCTCAATCTCCCCAATCATCTCTCTGCTGTTCGTTGCTGCTGGAATTCCTACGGGTCCAGACTTTGCATCATTTTTGCCTTCACGCCGCACTAACGACCGGTACAACTCGACTACCTCTGGTACCCTTTGTATCTCCTTTGTGCTCCTCTGCAACTTGGAAGGTAGTGGAGGTGGTGGTGGTGGAGGAGGAGGAGGAGGGTCATGCATCCTTCCTTTCTCATAGTTGTCTTTGGTTGGGTGCATGTCGGATTCGGCGGTGGATTTGGAACCCTTGGCGCCCTTGATCTCACTAGGTTTACCCTGGAGAATTGCTGCCTACTGTGATACAATGAGCTGTTGAGATCTAGAGCTTCCTTAGCACCATCATTGCTCTGGACAAACTGCTTTTCCTTGGAGTAGCTGATGCTGGTTGCATAATTCTCCAGCTTCTTCCATAGCATCCTCTTATCAGTATCCTGGCCTTCGAGAGAGGAGATCTGACCTTTTAATTGGCTCACTTGGTGTCTCAATTGCTTGTTCTCCTCTTCGAGAGCGCGATTCCTTTCGACCAGACCATGGAGCTTGCTTCTTAGAAGCGTAACACATGCATCACCCTCCCTCATCATCTCTTTCTCATCAGAGGAGATGAGGTTACAGTATGGTGGTATCGGTTCCTCACTCGTATAGTGGTAGCATTAAAGGTGATGTTTTGTAAGTGAGGTGCCGTATCATTGTTTGAGCCTTGGCTAGAGAAACTTAAAATGTGCAAGCAAGAATGGGTGAAGCATTGAGTTTGGTGGGAGCTGTTGCTGGGCTAATTACTTGTCCTTATTAAAGTGATTGCTATGGGGTAGCTGACTTGTCTGTGGAACTTCCCTAAAGTAAAATGCAGCCAATACTTGCATTGTTTTCTCATTTTTCCTGTGTGCCAGTTCGATCATCTGAATCGAACCACCCCTGTTTTATTCTTGGATTCAAGTTGAATTTATGTTACTCCCTCCGTTCACAAAAGAATGCAATTATCACGTATTGAGAAGTCAAACAGTTTCAACTTTGGCTAAAATTATTTTAAAAGTACTAACACTCTTGAGACAAAATAAGTACCATTAGATTAGTTATAGAATATATTTTTATAATAAATTTATTTGGAGACATAAATGATAATACTATTTACTATAAATTTGGTCAAAGTTGAACTAGTTTGACCGGCACGTTTCCCATAATTACATTCTTTTGTGGACGGAGGGAGTATTTTAGCAGGTGCTTTGAGATTTTAGCTTTAGCTGTTGAATTGTTATTCTATTCTGGCAAAGAGGAAAACTAGTATGGTGTCTCCTTTTTCTCTCTTGTTTTCATTGTTTTTTAGTCTCTATCATTTCTCAGAGATTATGTTGCTTTCTTGATTCCAATTTTTTATTAATTCTGACTGCAAACCTTGATTTTAAGCTTTCTTCTGTCTCAAGTTGTGTAAAAGGAGTTCAGATAGAGCTCCTTTACCAGCCAGAGCGAGGAACACCTTTTGCTAATAACAGGCAAGTAAAAGTTTTAAATCATAGGAAGAAAAAGAAATAATGGGAAAGCCGACCAAAAACAGAGAATAAAAGGGTTAAATTATGTGTGTTTACTTCTTGGACACATGAAGATGCTACATTCTTTCAGATTGTTGGTTTCAGTTCACGTGTTGTAGAAGTAATGTCTATAATTTCTGGACTATAGTTATCGCAGTTACAGCAAACCTTGCTGAAACAATCGTTCTGATCTCTGAAAATTCATTGCTTTGAGGGGGGAATCTGAAGAATCAAATAGAGCTTTTCATTTGGTATTGGAAGAAACAACCCATGTCACTGTCAATCTGTTTATGGGGGGAAATGGCAACATGGATTGGTGTCCCTACATATTAAGGTTCTGAAACTGTTGCCAGAGGTGGCAACACGGAAAGAAGTACAGCGTAAACAGAGCTGACAGCAAGAAGTTTCGCTCTGTAACATGGTGCAGAGGTTCCAGTTTATAGCAAGAAGTTCCCTGATGTATAGGGAATCGTTGACATAGTGATGGAGTTCATTGATTTCATTGTCTCGGGTTTCAGATTTAGATCGCATATACATGACACCCAGGAGAAGCAACTGAGTAGTAAGCATTTACGAAGTTCCACATGTTTCCACCATTTTTTTCCTTCGGAATTGATTGACAAAATTGCCAGATATTTGATGTATTGTGCATGAACCAGTATGGGGAGCTCCTGAACGCATATCTAACACTGCGACTAAAGATGTATCAGTAGTGTCACACGCTCACACATAAATGTGAGGAGCTGTACCAGTGAGTGATCATTGCAAATTTGCAATCATTTCGGTCCAATCTATATTAAAATCCCACAGGATGAGTTGCCGAGGATACACGTCGCTTCCTTGAGTTTGAGCTGTGACTGTGAGAATCCACCGCAAGAACTGTTGTAGCTTTGAGATTCCGACAAACGTGCCTATTTACACGCGCTGGTTAACAATTCATCTGAAGCCATCAGTTAATAATGACCGACACATCTCGAGGTGCTCCGCACGCGCTGATGGAGGATATTCATATTCATAAATAATCTGTACTAGTTTGATTCAGGCACAGAAGCTGCCAGGCATCCGTACATCGTGACACCACTTTTCTTCCCTGAGGAAACGTTTCACCGGAACATTATCGCGTCAGTGAAGGCAACCTCATACTTGCCACGGTGAAAGCGAGTTTTACTCCGGCCATCCCTTGGCGTTGCTGCGCTGCACGCGGGACAGGACGGCTACCCGTGTAGAAATCCGGGCGGCGTGCGCGTCGTCATCAACCTTTTTTCCTTTTCTGGTGTGAAACTTTTGGGCGGTGCTTGATCCGACGTTCGCCATGGAATTTCGTTGTCAGTGGTACACAAGATGGAGCCGATTTCTTCGCCAAAGCTGACGAAGCATTTGTTGAAATAAAGGCAGTACCACGCCGACTTCGTTCGGTGAGACGGTGAGTGATCCCATCACGCGGCTTAGATCGCAAGTAGCATCCGATTGAGACCAGGGACCAGAGAACAGTTTCAGTGTTCCACCCTGAGTCTACCGAACTGTTTGTTATGTTTCCCACAGGATAGCAGTGGTAGCAAGATAGGGGGGGCTATCGTAGGACATTAGAAATAAACTAGAAACAGCTTGTTGGAGCCACTTGCTTCATCAGCACTCAACAAACAGCAGTGCTGAATGTTAAATGGAGCCTATACCGGCGTAGCCCGGGCTCCGAGGAAACCCAGGTACATTTTTGCTGGACCCAAGCAATACCTATTCCTCCTGGTTCGGCGCCTAACTTGCCGTTCTTCGGTTCCAAGTCAATGTTTTTCCATCCAGTGGTTTGCCCGCCTTTTCCACTCTAGAAATTCCCCTTTAGGCATTCTTTGATGTATATGTATTTATTTTAATCTACGTGTGTTGAAATGGATTGGAGTGGAATTGAACTAAATTCCATTCCATTTCACTTCAACACATGTGGATTGAGATGGATACAGGGCTTTGTTGGATGCGTATGTATTCATCTCAATTCACGTGTGTTGAAGTTGATTAGAGTGAATTGAATTAAATTTCATTTTATTTCACTTCAACACATATAGATTAAGGTGGATATAGGTGCATAGGCCTCAATCATCAGAGAATCGATTGTGTTGTGTTGCCAACATTCGCGCTGGCCGCAGAGTCTCAGTCAGCTAGTACTACGAACTGGTGCCTTGGCCCTTGGGGACATCAATACTTCAATAGTGTGTTTGAAAGACGATTGAGAAGCCTTACCAGTCTAGTGAAGAATTGAAGACTGCCAATGGCCAAATGAAACTACAACTTGAGAGGATCTGAGAGGCGTGCTGAGCAGCAGCGAGTGGGTGTGTTTGTACGCAGGTCTAATTGGAGTTTGGTGTTGCTGGTAGTCTTAATGGAACAGAGGCAGGTTTGGTGGCCTCCGCTGGTCCTGACGACAACAAAAGTTGGGGGCGATGCCGCCGTCCGTCGCGCTCATCCAACAGGACAGGACCGGTCGTCCACGGAGCTTCGCCCACACGCGTGGCCGACGTGGGAAGACAGCGACCCCGAGCAGGCGGTCGCTGTTGCGTTGCGTCCTCCTCGCCGCCACGGTCAGTCAGTGATCAGTGTGGCGTGGCCATTGCCCACCGACACCCTTTCCCTGTGTGCTCGATGCCTGCATCCGTCCGTCGATCGTCTCGGGTTCAACCGTTGGCACGAAATGCTTTGGGTTTGGGCCGTCAGAAGCGGCAGCGGAGGGCTTCGGCCGTTTCCCCTGGGTTTCCCTTTCATCGCGAGGCTTGTCAGTTTGCCAAAAGCTTTTGTGCATGTTTTTTTTTTTTTGCCAAGTTTCAGTTACTTCAATTTCGTTTCCAGCTTGAACGGAACAGCTAGCTGAGTAAGCGGAATGACCAGACCAGACTGTGACTCTCCCGGCCTTCCACAGCTGATAACACAGTCTGTCTAAAATGTGTCCATGGTGCTCTACTGCTCTGTGGTGCTAACTGCTAAGTACTGCGTGCTAACATCACATCATGGGCATGGCACAGTATATATGTAGATTGATCCTTATCTTTCCAGGCCAGTTTCCCAGAGGCTCAGAAGGACAGGTTGCCTCTCTATCCTTTTATATAATTATCCTTTGCTTCATCTTTTTTTTGAAAAAAAATCCTTTGCTTCATCTCTGCTCCTAAACCTGGATGACGCTTTCCCTCCTTTTGAACTCCCCTGTGAAGCTTTTCTGAAACTAATACATAACCATTTGTTTAGGTCTAACATTTTGGGGGTGGATTCAGTTAGTGTTTGCAGGACTGGTTCATCGAGGGAATTTCTTCACCAACGACTTCTATGCTGCCTGTGAATGGTGATGTGGCCCGTGGCCGTATCAAGCTCTTCACAGCAGGCTGATCTAGCAGCCACCATGAATAAGAGCAACAATCCTCGGTGTAATTTCACATTTGTCCTCAAACAGAGAAGCAATTTTTTGTATTTATTTCTCCTGTTCTGCAGCTTGAATTGTTCTGATTAGCATCAACTGCAGTTGCTTGATTCTAGCATTGTATATGATATATTTTCCGCGTTAAGTATTCATGTCGTCTGTTAGATTGTGCATGGCCTTAACGGCCGAGCACGACGTCGGGTGGTTAGAGAGTTCGTAGCCCAGGTGGCCTTGACTGGGTGTTGGCAGGTTTCCTGCAGCTGAGGTCGCCTCTAAGTTTGCTGTAATCCTCAGCTTCTTTCGGTTTTTGTCATCCTCCTCTTTGGTAACCTAGGCACAGTTGCGAAAAAATATGATATCTTTTATAACTTTTGCAATTTTTATGTTTGCAAAGGCTTGCAGAATTTGGGAGAACATCTTAGCTCAATGCTGCTAGGCTTACCAACTTAATGGACTGGGATGTTCACTCCCATTGTCTGCTTAACAGACTGTAGAAGACTTCCTTTATTTATAGGGATACTTGATGTGCTACAAATTAAATTAAAAAAAGTTATCTTTCCTTTCTCCCAAAGAGATTAGAAGAGTGTAATTCACAAAGCTAGAACTACTATAAATTAATCTATTTAATGGGATACTTTGGTCTTGTTAGAGTGAAAGGAAG